TCCACGGATTAAGTTAACAACAATTAAAATGACATGCAAAATGTTTTAATGGTTTTTAATTCTTTAAACTGTTTTTCTGGGCTTAATTACTTAAATGGACTCTATCCATAGTACAGTTAATTTAACTAATCGATTTTTCTCTCCAAACCAATTGCGAACATTGCGAGAAAAGTGTTGAAAGTCAATTGAATTATTATAATTTGTTCACTTAAAAAATTTTTAATTCTCTAAACTGTTGATCTAAATTCCCATTAATAAAATACATCATGATAGGTAATAGCGCACCACACTGAAATATTGTCTTTGGGCATGTATGGTAATTTGTTCACTGTTTTAATATCGACAATGTTGGGATTAAACTACACAAATGGTGGTAAATTTGGATTCATTAGAAAGTACAACGAATTTATGAAAATTTATTTGATTCAAAAATATAAACGTTTGAGTTCATCACCTTTTTTTAAGTTTGGTTTAAACGGCATAATTTTGTTTTTCTTCAAGATTATAAAAGCTGTGATTTGCTAAAGCCAAGTTGTAATCTTTTTAACTCAATTCGTGGAAAACATTCAATTTTCTTGGTTTCTTTAAGAAACTTTCTTGACCCATCACTGGTAATAGTCATAAGAAAAAATTGAACCTACACCTCGCCAAAGTTTTTTTGTTTTGAATGCGTTCCACCAACTTCAAATACCGACAGACAGCTGTTTCGACCTTTATTGGGTCTCATCAGTGTCGGACAACTTGGTGTAGTGGAACACAATCAAAACAAATTACTCCCTGAGCCTATATGCTCAGTTGTTGAGTCAACAGAGGCGAGATGAGACACTGATGAGACCCAATAAAGGTCGAAACAGCTGTCTGTCGGTATTTGAAGTTGGTGGAACGCATTCAAAACAAAAAACTTTGGCGAGGTGTAGGTTCAATTTTTTCTCAATTCGTGGATATGCTGCAGCATACATGTATACGTAAAACCAATATTTTTTGAATTTTTAGGCCAGATACTCAACCCCACTCTGCTTAAGCCAATTCAACGTATTATGTAGTTTAAATTTAATTTAATTCAATTACTTAGCAATAGTTTAACTTATAATTTTTCCTATTAAAATAATTTAATAATAATAAAAACATCGCCAAATTGTATGGCATGTTGTAAAACTAATAATATTGACTAAAAGTTTCGCTCTATCTCTAAAAATGTTTACATTCCAAGTAAAGGAATTGTTAAATTTGTTAGGCTGTGTATGTTATATAAAGCTATTAATAGATGTTACTAATATTATTCTTGAGTGATGCTTGATGTTGAGAAATAAACTCTTTAAAATTTATATTTTGTTTTATTTCTTACCCTCCCTAGACCAGTTCTGTGGAATACAAATATGTCTTTTTAACAATGATTTGAGTTTGTTGCTAAGCTCCAAGACATGCCAAAACAAGCATTGTTTAATAACCTTTTAAAAATCAAAAGTTATTTTGGTACTTTACATCATGGACGTCTCCCCATCAGAAACTGTAAGTTCCATCATAAAAAGCAAACCCGCATAAAACGAAGCATTTCAGACGTTATCGGAAGTATTTCGTTGCTTCATATGCATGGAAAAACTGAAGGAAGCCCACCTTTGCCCGCACTGCTCCAAACTGTGCTGCTACATGTGCATACGCAAATGGCTGACCGAACAGAGGTCGCAGTGCCCCCATTGCAGGGCCTCCCTGCACATGCACGAACTGGTGAACTGCCGCTGGGTCGAGGAAGTCACCCAACAACTGGACTCGTTGAATGGGGGATGCTCCAGCGACAGAAGAGCCGAAGAAGTGAACAAAGACAGGTGCACCAAGCATTTGGAGAAGTTGTCAGTGTACTGCTGGACCTGCAGATGCTGCATCTGCCATCAATGTGCTCTTTGGGGCGGTGAGCATTGCGGTCATACTTTCAAACCTCTGGACGAGGTTTACGAGCAAAATGTCACGCAAATTAGGGATGAGGTTGGACAGTTGAGAAGAAGGTTGATGGAGTTGATAAGTATAGTGCAAGAAGTGGTAACTACCAAGTTAATTGTGGAGCAATCAGACAAAAGCAGATAAATCCGTTTTAAGCAGTTTCGAGTTATCAGCGAAAAACAAATATTTTTCGTTCTGCAATATTTTCACAAAGAACAACCCATGAATTCTATATTCTATAGTGCTATAAGAACTTAAAATTCATTTTTTTATTTTTTTCCACCTGCATCATGTGTTATAGTAAAAAACCAAAATAGATTTATCTAGTGTTGCTTGAATTCAATTAATTGACAGGATTTATCTCCATTTGCTTGAAATAGGAATAAAAAAACCGTTTTATCCATTGACCTATACAGGGTGGTCCAGGATTAATCTGAAAAATGTTAATGCAATTTAAGTTAATTTAAAATAACAATAATGTGATTTTTTAATTTGGATTTATCTGCTTTTGCTTGATTTGTTAGGTTTCGAGACCGGTATTCTATATCAACTACTTGGTTTGGCTCAATTCTGAGTTCACCAATGGATTAACCTTACCTCATTTACTGTTAGTTCATACTTAACTCATTTTTTAACAAAACTGGATTTATCTGCTTTTGTCTGATTGCTCCACAATTATGACTAAAGCTTCCCCTTGTAGAATTTTTTTCCGAAAAAGTTTTAATAAGTAAAAATATCAGTTTTGAAAATCTTACATCCTCTTAAAAACTCTGAAAAAGACTTTAGAATAAGTTTTAGTGAGTCAGACTAATAGCAAGATTTGGGAGTCTTCTGGAAGAATTAATGAAACTTAATAAGATTTTTAGCAGAGAAATGCTAGGTACCTATAGCGATTAAAATAAATATCCGGAATTATTTAGAGATGTTGTATTTGGTTATTCTCAAAGAAAAGTATTTATAAACATTGTTTTTGTGTTATAACGCTTATAACAACACATAAGCAATGTTTTCAATGAAATTTCCCGACCAAAAATTAAAAAACATTCGATAATTATGCATATTTGGTAAATATACAATTATATTTACTGAACATTTCTTTAAATAGTATTTTCCAGTGGCGGCTGGTGGATTTTGGGCACACCCATATCTCAGTTATTAGATATGGGACCCACATCAAATTTATATGAGTTTATAATGACATTATATAGACAAGTTCTGCGCAAGCAGAATTTAAATTGAAGTTTGCGAAAATAAAGTTAGCTTTTAAGTGTGCCCCTCCAAATTAAGATAATTCAAATTTCAGTGGTACAATATTTAATTCACTGAAGTTTATCGACAAATTTCAAATTTTATTAAAAAAATTTAAGGATTACAGGTTTTATACCATTTTAAATTTTTATTACTTTTTTAACTAAATTTTAAAAAAATTAGAAATGGTATAAAGTCTGTAATACTTGAAATTTTTTAATAAAATTTGAAATTTGTCGATAAACTTCAGTAAATTAAATATTGTACCACTTTAATTTGAATTAGGAGGCTGGGGGGGCACACTTAAATACTAACTTTTTTTCGCAAACTTTAATTTAAATTCTGCTTGCGCAGAACTTGTCTATATAATGTCATTATAAATCATATAAATTTGATGTGGGTCCCATGTCTAATAACTGAGATATGGGTGTGCCAAAATCCACCAGCCGCCACTGGTATTTTCATCGAAATTTAGAAAATACCTCATTTCACCCGCTTCAAAATGTTAAGCCGGGTCTACAATTGTCGCAGGTCGCAGAATATAAGCTTGCGCAAAGCACCCAGCTGACAAAAGAACCTTGCTCCATCGCCACGTTGCGGAGTCCTTTGCGCAAGCTTATGTTCTGCGATCGGACCCCTGCGACAATTGTAGACCCGGTTTTACCGCAAACATGAAGAAAATACCCGCAAACGGCAACACTGGGTACGTCTAGAAAACGCTGGAAGATGCGATCACATGACGGTCAGCTGTGATCTAATTGGTCAGCTGAGAAAATCGATATTGCACCAGAAGTACACATGTGTTGTTTTAGAACAATTGTTTGGAACAATTATCAGATGAATATTTGCATATATTTTTTTTTTGTATAAAGAGAAACTGTTAAAATAAAACTTACAGTGGCAACAATGAAAGCAAGTCAAGCGCATCGCATGTAAAAAATTATATGTTTTGTAATTATTACACATATATGTTACTATAAAGGTAATTATGCAATAAACTTGGCTTATAACAACACAGAAAAACTGTTCATGAATACTTTTCTTCGTTTTTATTTTACAAGTTTATCTCTGTTTTACAATAACCAAATAGAACCTCTCTGAACAATTCAGGATAGTTATTATTGTATCTATTATTTCTCTGCTTATTAACTCTTCCAGAAGACTCCCAAATCTTGCTAAGTCCGACTTACTAAGACTTATTCTGAGTTTTTCCGACTTAGTCTTATTTTGACTTTTTTCGACTTAATAATTAAGACTTAAGTCTTATTCTGAGTTTTTAAGAAATGAGACTTTCAAAACTCTTATTTTTACTTTTTCAGAGAACAATTTCCACAAAAGTCGCCATAAAAATATTTAATTTTTTTACATTCTTTCTATTTTAACCTCTTGAAAACTTTTGACGTGTTTAGGATAGAAACGTAGAATCAGTACGGAAAGCTAAGGATGACCGCGTGCGAGAAATAAGAACCGCGGTAGAGCTAATGGTCAATAAACTTGACACTCAATTAAAAACGAAACTCATCACCCTTATGAAGCAGAAGGAGACTTTAACACAAGTAATATTAACAATAATTTTCAACCATTAAAATTTAACTCTGATATTCTATAAAGGAAACGGAACAATTGGAAAAATTACTACACGAAACAGAGCATCAACTCCACAACTCCACCAGATCTGAGTTGATTGGAAAAAGCTCCGATTTAAGCAAAAAGATACAATCAGTTAAGGAAAAACCCATGACTTCTTGTGTTACTGCACCTGTCCCAGCAGACTTCCACAGGTAGATGTGTTATTTAGATCATTTTAGGTAATTTTGATGAACTCTTATAGTGAAATGATTCCCCCATATGAAAGCAGCACTTTCATAATGCACAACTTCTCGAAAGCCAAGCTAGAATCTGAGCCGGTCTACTCCCCACCATTACACTCAAATGGTTTATCATGGAGGCTGAAAATATACCCAGATGGTAATGGTATTGTCAAAGGAAACTACCTATCTGTTTTCTTGGAGTTAAGCTCTGGTTATCCGGAATCATCCAAGTATGAATACAAAGTGGAAATGCTTCATCAGGCGGGTGGGGATTCAACAAAAAATGTTGTTAGGGAGTTTTCTTCAGATTTCGAGGTTGGGGAATGCTGGGGGTACAATAGGTTCATACGGTCTGATCTTTTGGTCAGTGAGGGCTATTTAAATGTTCCTTTGGATACTATTGTGCTAAGGTAGGTTTAAAAAGTGTTGTGGTAAGGGTAAACATAATGATTTTAGATTTCAAGTAAGAGCTCCGACCTATTTCCAAAAGAGTAGAGATCAACAATGGTACATAAACCAGTTACAAGCCATACAAAATAGATATATTTCACAGATCAACGAATCCAAAGAGGTAAAACATAGTTTTAATAATATATAACATAAAAATTACATTACAGAGACTAGCAGGAAAATTTTGCAAAAAATCAGATTCAACCAGATCCCAAGCTAAGAATGTCTATAAACTAAATAACAATGAAGAACATCCAGACAGAATTCCTTTTACTGACCATGCTTTCCAGAAAAGTACCAACACAGAAAGCACGTAATAATTTTTATCAGAAGCTTTTGATTCTTTAACAAGTTTCTTTTTACTTAGAAGCTTCAAGAAAAGTAACACAGCTTTACATCCTGCAAAAGGGTCTAGCTCAGCTTCATCCTCAGCTACGTACATTAAAAACAAACAATCAGAAAATAATACTGAAAATGGTAAAACTCAAAGTAGGCCTTTGCTAGGGCTTGGAGTATCATTGAGCTCACCAAATTTACTGAACTTTTCCATGTCTTTAGCCCTCAGCAGCAGCAGTAGTGAGAGCGTAAGTAGGACAGAGATACTTGCTTAGGGTGTAAAATATTCAAATTTCACTGTAGGATATAAGTCAAACTGAATACGAAGCCATAAATGATGACGAGGCATCCAATGATGATAATGAAGAAAATATAACAGGAAATGGTGATTATTTAAGCGATTCAAGCGAGTCACATTGTCCCCACCACGAGACAAGCTGTCAGATTGCGGAAAGAGAAATATGCCAACTTAAAAAAACCAGATCAAAATAACTTTTTTTTACATAAACCGTGCTAAATTATATGTATGATGTTTGTTTTTGAGTAGATAATACAAAATGCATTTTTGACGAGTTATTTATTATAAAATATATACATCAGGTACAATTCTTTTTAAAAGTCTTAATTTAATTATTATTATAATTAAAATTAAAGGATGACTTGTTACCAACAAAGGGGGCCTAAAATATACAAAATACAAAAAAATATTAAAACTTAAAGATTTAAAGATCTTACTTGTATTGCAGTACTAGTACTGGGATTATAGTTCCTATTAGATCCTTGATCTTTATTTCTGGAATACAGTTCCGGTATTGGCCCCTAAAACAACTGTTAGAACTCTTTTCTTACCCATAAACACACTTAAACTTACCTTATTGATCTCTGGGAATATGGTACTTAAATTGAAGTTCGTCAACGAAGTACCACTAGAGTTCACGGGAAGTATTTCGGGTTGATTGCTATTTCTCGTGCCAGGAACAGGCGGAAGCGGAAGTAGGGGGGTAGAAGACATGTCAGATGTTTTGTTGTTATTGTGGGAGAAGGGGTTGATGGTTTTGTAAGTTGTAGGAGGGGGTATGTAGGTGGTGTGTGTGTGAAAATCATCGGGTAACAAGGGGGAGTTGCGGTTACCAGGCATGGAGAGGAACTGGATGTCAAAATTGTTTATATTCGTATCATGAGGGGGTTTCTTTTTGCCTTTCTTGTAGGTATTCGTACAGTTTTGATTTAGGTTTTTTTCCGTGTTACTATTTACGTTCCTGTTAGGTTTAGGGCAAGGTTTCTCCTTGACTGGAGTGGAGAATATGTTGTTAAAGTTATCAGAGATAAAATCGTGTGTATCGTGAACAAAATTGTTTGTAGGGATGTATGTTGTTGTTATTGTGTTTGTGGCGGGAATAAAATTGTTTGCTGTGTATGAAGTGTTTTGGAATGTTCCAAAATTATGGGTAAAAGTATTGCTATTATAGGCTTGATTTTGTGGAATATAAGTATTCTCCTGGGTAAATTCAACAGGGGGGAAATAGGTAATAATGTTATCGGTAAGAAAAGGTGGAGGTACTAAAGTTTTGTTGGTGTAATTTTGCTTTTTATTCGCATCGTTAATTATATTATTAGTGTGGCCTATAAGAGCCTCGGCTGTATAATTACTAGAGCTATTCTTTGGTTTGTTATTGCTATTTTCACAGAAAATATCCTGATTATTAAAACTAGCAACGAACTTATTCATTTGCTGTGTATTTTTCAGCCCGTCACTCTTATTAGCATTACTCGGCATTTCCTTGGCTTCCTGCGACTTTCTTTTTTGTTTAACCTGCTGTGTTTTGGCTCTATTACCACTATTCCTCCTAGTAGTAGTTCTAGCCGGCACATTCTCATTTTTATTACTATCCACAAGCTGACTAACCGACAAAAAGTTCGTTTGATTATCGTAGTTAACGTTCTTACTTCTCCTGCTGGTATCTTTAACTCTTTTATCCGTCTTGGGTTCGTATATGTGATTGAGTCCCAAATCGCCCACAAGGGGGTCCAAAAATTGAGGCATTTTTGCCGGGGACCACTCTTCCAAGTCTGTCCTTTGATAGTTGTTACTCAAAGATGGATTTATGGGGAGATCTATAGTTTTTCTGGTGTTATCGTTCATGGTTATTTCACTGGTGCTATACATCGTATTAGTATTAAAGTATGTTGTCTGTGAGTTTGAGGCGAATGAGTTATTTGGGTAAACCGTGAATTCGTTTTCCTTTGATAAAGGAGGCAAGAAGTAATCTGTTTGTATTTTGTTATCTGGAGCAGTCATCCAGTTTATTGGAGGTTTACTTTGACTTGGTTGTTTGGACTTTGGAGGGCTGTTGAATTTATCTTTTGAAGGATTTTGAGTTGCGGCATAATAATTATCCGAAAAATTATCGCATTTCTTGTAATTCTCATAATTATCGTATGTTGGCATGGAATAGTAACCCTTATTGTCATTTTTGTTAATGTTCTTATAACAATTCGAGTTAAAATTACTACTATCACCATAGTAGCTATAAGAACTGACAGCGTTATTACTAGACTTCGGATTGTACGAGGTACAATTGGTCCTAGCACTATTGGACTCATTACCCATTTGCGCATTGGCATAAGCTTTATTATTGTGATGATGATAATTTTTAATCTCCTTCTGAGGTGGATCCAGAACGGCCTTAATCGGCAGCGATCCTGGTTGCATATTTATAGACGTAGGCGGATGTATCGTGTGCTGTATGGGTTGCATACTTCTAGACGTCGGCGGAGCTACCGAATGCATGTCGAAAGAAGTGGGAGGTGCTAAAACGTTGTTATGCAACTTGGGCTGCATACTGAAAGTATTTAGGGGCGGGGCTATAGATTGCAAGTTAAACGAAGTGGGAGGAGCTATCGATTGCACGTTGAAGGATGTGGTAGGGGGTGCGTGGTGCAATTTGGGTTGCATACTGAAAGTAGATTGATTGATTGGCGGCGCATTGAAATGTAATTTGGGTTGCGAACTGGGAGGCGCTATCGATTGAACATTAAACGATGTGGGAGGTAACGGATGTATTTTTGACTGCATAGGAGGAGCCAAAGACTGAACATTACTAAAAAGAGTGTTGGGGGGCGCGGTTTGCAATAATTTTGGAGGCGCAATCGACTGAACGTTAAACGATGTACGTGGAGCGTTAAATAGGTTTGTGGAGATGTGTATTTTTGGTTGCATACTGACTGTGGTAGTCGGTGGTGGTTGCGTACTGTTAAACGACGTTGCTAGGGTTACAGCGTGTGATTTGAGTTGCATACTGACTGTAGTGGTGATGGGAAAAGTGTTAAAGGAATTGAACGATGTACTGGAAGATTGTGAGTGTAATGTGGGTTGCATATTTCTTAATTTAGGCGGCGAGACGTGTGTTTTTGGTTGCATACTAGCCATAGTAGTGGGCGGAACCATCGATTGGACATTAAACGTTGTGGTGGGGGGTGCCGGGTGCAATTTTGGTTGCATACTTGCTGAGGTGGTAAGCGGTAAGGTATGTATTGCTGGTTGCATACTTTGCGACGTGTGCATATTAAAGGAAGTTGAAGAGGGTGTGTTATGCAATTTTGGTGGAAAACTAGTAGTAAAAGTAGTGATAGGAGGTAAATTGTTTATTGGGGGTTGTAAACCAAGGCTGAATGATGTTTTAGGGGGGGCATTTTGTAATTTAGGTTGCATACTCAGCGTGGAGTGTATGATGGGTTGCATGACGTCAAATGACGACGGTATTTTCGGTCGCATACTTGGAGGGGGTAGACTGGGTTGCAAAGTTATTGTGCTAGGGATAGGAACAATATTGTCGCTTAATAAATTTGGCATTTGCGAGTAGGCTGCAGATTTAGGGTTTTCTATTATCTTTTCGTTTATATTATACGGTAAAGGGTCAAAGAATCTTTTTATTTTTTTATTATCTGTGTTAGTGGAATTGGTAAATACGCTAGGAGTTACTATACTGCTTGCTGTTGTGAAAGTAAAAGTATAATTGTTTGAAAAAATACTCGTACTGATAATACTGGGAGTAGTACTTTTAAAACTATTGGAAAATATGTTGCTTGGAGTTGTATAGCTGTTAGAGTAATTAGCAAACTCTTTGCCGGTAAAAAAGGAGAAATTATCTAGATTCAACAAACTGGGAGTGAGGGCGTCGCTCTGGGAAACAGTGGTTCTAGTATTTGTCATCGTACCGATTTGCAGTAAATTCGGCGTGCCTCTTTCAGAATTTTCTTCGTCGATCACTTCGGTTACTTTAACGCCATTCGAGGTGGATACCAAAGGGAATGTAAGCAAAAAGGCGGCCGTAGGCGAGGTGGACTCAGGATTTTGACAACCTGTGGGAACTTGAAGTGAAGCAAATAAATCGTTTGAAAGTTCTGAATGCTGCAAATTGAGTTCATTCGCGTTCAAATCTGGTAATTCATTGGAGTCTACTTTCTCCTTTAATTGAGTTATTTTTTCTGCATCTATGGATAGTTTTGTGTCAGGTTTATTGTTTGGTTCATCAGATATATTTTCTTTGTTATCTTTTACCAATGCGGTGTTTGAATTTGGCTTTGATATTTTATCAACTTTATCAACTTCTGGTTGTATTTCTTCATTAGCGATGTTTTTGGAAGTACTTGCTACTGAAGTCTTGTCTTTGTTCAAAGCATTTCCCTGATTTATCACCTCATTGCTGATAATCTCAATCTTGGACTTTTTAGAGGGAATTTCATCATTTCCTTCTATGTTTATGTCAGTTTGGCTTTCCTCTGACTTTTGCTCCACAATTTTTCGTTTAACAACACTTTTACCTTTTTTAATATTATTCTTATTATTCGGTACCTCCGGTGGAGGATGATCAAAAACAACATAGTTATGAGCATACCTGGAGGCAGGTATGGGTACCTTATTCACTTGCGTCGTCTGGGTGAAACACGTTTTAGGCCTAACAGGTTTGTAACTAGTAACACCTTTTTGTTGCGCAACTGTTACAATTGGCGTTATTTTAGGTGTGTTCACGCTCGATACGACTATAACATTTTGTATGTTGGGGCGAGGGTTAATGTTATTAGCTATAATAGTGGGGGTGGGAATAAAATTTTGATTTTGAATGACGGGGAGGATGGAACCGTTAGCGAGAATTAAAGTACCTGGTCCTAAAGTCGTTACTTTGGAATTTGTTCTTGTTAATTGAGATGTTGTGAAGATTATTGTATTTGAATTGACTAAAAAACACAATATATGTAATTTGTAAAATAATGTTTTAGGTGAGTTTTTTTGCATGTCAATCTTAAAAATACCGCACAAAAAAATTTCACAAAAACCTTTTTTGTTGGGAAATCCAAATTTTACAGTTTAAATTTAAATTTATAATAAAAAATAAATTTTTCTTACCAGTACTTGTGTAGTTGTTTTGAACCAAAGTATTCCTTGGTGGATTTGTTATTATGTAACATTGTTGATTTATAGTTGGTTGAGA